ATGAATCTGGGTGCTCCTGTATTGGGTGCATATATATTTAGGATAGTTAGCTCTTCTTGTTGAATTGATCCCTTTACCATTATGTAATGGCCTTCTTTGTCTCTTTTGATCTTTGTTGGTTTAAAGTCTGTTTTATCAGAGGCTAGGATTGCAACCCCTGCCTTTTTTTTGTTTTCCATTTGCTTGGTAGATCTTCCTCCATCCCTTTATTTTGAGCCTATGTGTGTCTCTGCACGTGAGATGGGTCTTCTGAATACAGCAAACTGATGGGTCTTGACTTTTTATCCAGTTTGCCAGTCTTTGTTTTTTAATTGGACCATTTAGTCCATTTACATTTAAGGTTAATATTGTTATGTGTGAATTTGATCCTGTCATTATGATATTAGCTGGTTGTTTTGCTTGTTAGTTGATGCAGTTTCTTCCTAGCATTGACGGTCTTTACATTTTGGCATATTTTTACAATGGCTGGTACCGGTTGTTCCTTTCCATGTTTAGTGCTTCCTTCAGGATCTCTTGTAGGGCAGGCCTGGTGGTGACAAAATCTCTCAGCATTTGCTTGTCTGTAAAGAATTTTATTTCTCCTTCACTTATGAAACTTAGTTTGGCTGGATATGCTATTCTGGGTTGAAAATTCTCTTCTTTAAGAATGTTGAATATTGGCCTCCACTCTCTTCTGGCTTGTAGAGCTTCTGCCGAGAGATCTGCTGTTAGTCTAAAGGGCTTCCCTTTGTGGGTAACCTGACCTTTCTCTCTGACTGCCCTTAACATTTTTTCCTTCATTTCAACTTTGGTGAATCTGACAATTATGTGTCTTGGAGTTGCTCTTCTCAGGGAGTATATTTGTGGTGTTCTCTGTGTTTCCTGAATTTGAATGTTGGCCTGCCTTGCTAGGTTGGGGAAGTTCTCCTGGATAATATCCTGCAGAGTGTTTTCCAACTTGGTTCCATTCTCCCCGTCACGTTCAGGCACACCAATCAGACGTAGATTTAGTCTTTTCACATAATCCCATATTTCTTGGAGGCTTTGTTCATTTCTTTTTACTCTTTTTTCTCTAAACTTCTCTTCTCAGTTCATTTCATTCATTTGATCTTCAGTCATTGATACTCTTTCTTCCAGTTGATCGAGTTGGTTACTGAAGCTTGTGCATTTGTCACGTAGTTCTTGTGTCATGGTTTTCATCTCTATCAGTTCATTTATGGACTTTTCTGCATTGGTTATTCTTGTTATCCATTCTTCCATTCTTTTTTCAAGGTTTTTAGTTTCTTTGCACTGGGTACGTAGTTCCTCCTTTAGCTCTGAGAAGTTTGATTGACTGAAGCCTTCTTCGCTCAGCTCGTCAAAGTCATTTTGTGTCTAGCTTTGTTCCCTTGCTGGTGATGAGCTGCGTTCTTTTGGAGGGGGAGATGCACTCTCATTTTTTGAATTTGCAGCTTTTCTGCACTGCTTTTCCCCCATCTTTGTGGTTTTATCTGCCTTTGGTCTTTGATGATGGTGACTTACTGATGGGGTTTTGGTGTGGGTGTCATTTCTGTTTGTTAGTTTTCCTTCTAACAGTCAGGACCCTCAGATGCAGGTCTGTTGGAGTTTGCTTGAGGTCCACTCCAGACCCTGTTTGCCTGGGTATCAGCAGCAGAGGCTTCAGAAGATAGAATATTGCTGACAGCAAGTGCTGCTGTCTGATTCTTGCTCTGGAAGCTTTGTCTCAGAGGTGTACCCAGCCATGTGAGGTGTGAGGTGTCAGTCTGCACCTAGTGGGGGATGTCTCCCAGTTAGGCTACTCAGGGGTCAGGGACCCACTTGAGCAGGCAGTCTGTCCTTTCTCAGATCTAAACCTCTGTGCTGGGAGAACCACTGCTCTCTTCAAAGCTGTCAGACAGGGACATTTACATCTAAAGAGGTTTCTGCTGCTTTTTGTTTAGCTATGCCCTGTCCCCAGAGGTGGAGTCTACTGAGGCAGGCAGGCCTCCTTGAGCTGTGGTGGGCTCCACCCAATTCGGGCTTCCCAGTGGCTTTGTTTACCTACTTAAGCCTCAGCAATGGCAGGTGCCCCTCCCCCAGCCTTGCTGCCACCTTGCAGTTAGATCTCAGACTGCTGTGATAGCAATGAGGGAGGCTCCGTGGGCGTAGGACCCTCCGGGCCAGCCATGGGATATAATCTCCTGGTGTGCTGTTTGCTAAGACCCTTGGTAAAGCACAGTATTGGGGGGGAGTTACCCGATTTTCCAGGTGTTGTGTATCTCAGTTTCCCTTGGCTAGGAAAAGGAATTCCCTTCCCCGTTGTGCTTCCCAGGTGAGGCAATGCTTCGCCCTGCTTCAGCTCTCACTGGTTGGGCTGCACCCATTGACTAGCACCAACTGTCCGACACACCCCAGTGAGATGAACCCAGTACCTCAGTTGAAAATGCAGAAATCACCCGTCTTCTGTGTCACTCACACTGGGAGCTGGAGGCTGGAGCTGTTCCTATTCGGCCATCTTGGGCGCCCCCCAACCTTTTAACTTCTATACCAGAATTAAAAGTGATTTACATACCACCATTACAGTATTACAGTGTTCTGTATTTGCCAGTATCTTTATCTTTACTAGTGAGCTTTATACTTTCATATGCTGTCTAGTGGCCTTTCATTTGAAATAGAAGGGTTCCCTTTAGTATATCTTGTAAGGTAGGTCTAGTGGTGATGAACTTCCTCAGCTTTTGTTTATCTAGCAACATCTTTAGTTTTCTTTCATTTTCGAAGGACAGTTTTTCCAAATATAGTATTATTGATTAGCAGGGGTTTTTTTTCCATCCCTTTGAATATATCATCTTACTCTTTCCTGTACTACAAGATATCTACTGAGAAATCCACTGGTAGTCTTATGGAAGCTCCCTTATATGTGATGAGACTCTTTTCTCTTTCTGCTTTCAAAATTATCTCTGTCTTTGACTTTTGACAATTTGATTATAATGTGTCTTGATAAGGGCTTTTTTGGGTTTATCTTAGTTCAAGTCCATTAGACTTCTTGAATGTGGATAGACATTTCCTTCTCCAGATTTGAGAAGTTTTTGGCCATTATTTCTTTAAAAACTTTCTATCCTTTTTTCCCAGACTTCTTTTGAGACTCCCATAATGCATATATTGGTCTGCTTGATGGCGTCCCATAAGTCTCTTAGGCTTTCTTTTCTCTCTGTCATTCTTTTTTTTTTTTTTTTTTTTTTTGCTCCTTTGACTGGATAATTTCAAATGTTGTATCTTCAAGCTCACTGATCTTTTCCTGTTGAACTCCTCTAGTGAGTTTTTTCAGTTCAGTTATTGTATTCTTCAGCTCCAAAATTTGTTTGGTTCTTTTTCATATTTTCTGTATCTTTTTTGATATTCTCATTTTGTTCATACATCCTTTTCCTGGGCTTGTTGAGCATCCCAGGAGCCTTTCAAAGATATGGATTCCCAGACCTTACTGGCAGAGATTCTGATTCAGTAGGTATAGTGTTGAGGCCTTAAAAGCTATATTTTCTTTTTCTTTTTATTTATTTTTTTATTTTTTGAGACAGAATCTCATTCTTGTCGCCCAGGCTGGACTGCAATAGCGCAAGCTCAGCTCACTGGAACCTCCACCTCCCAGGTTCAAGTGATTCTCCTGCCTCAGCTCCCTGAATAGCCGGGATTACAGGCAGCCACCACCACGCCCAGCTAATTTTTGTATTTTTAGTAGAGATGGGATTTCACCATGTTGGCCAGGTTGGTCTTGAACTATTGGCCTCAGGTGATCCACCCAGCTCGGCCTCCCAAAGTGCTGGGATTACAGGCGTGAGTCACCACGCTAAAAGCTATGTTTCTTAAAGATCCTCCAAGTGGTTCAGATATACATCCAGGTTTGGAAATCACTTCCAGTAAAAAGACCACCTTCAATCTCTCCCCCTTCCCTTATATGAGCTCTAGGGAAGTGGGGAGGTCTAGACTTATATAAAGTATATAAAGTTTTGTTTTGTTTTGTTTTTTGAAATGGAGTCTTGCTCTGTCACCAGGCTGGAGTGCAGTGGTGCGATCTCAGCTCACTGCAACCTCTGCCTCTTGAGTTCAAGTGATTCCCCTCCCTTAGCCTCCTGAGTAGCTGGGACTACAGGCACATGCCACCATGCCTGGCTAATTTTTTTGTATTTTAGTAGAGATGTGGTTTCACCATGTTGGCCAGGATGGTCTCTATCTCCTGGCTTCATGATCCACCTGCCTTGGCCTCCCAAAGTGCTGGGATCACAGGCATGAGCCACTGTTCTCAGCCATGAAGTTTTTAAATATAAGCTTCTGGGAAGTGAATAGATAGTGGATAGAATATGCAGACAGAAAATCAGTAAAGAACAGAGAACTTGAACAACACTATAGACCAAATGGACTTACAGACATGTATGCAGAACATTCCACCCAACAGCAGCACAATACACATTCTCCTCAAGTGCACATGGAACATTCTTTAGGATGGATCTCATGCTAGGTTACAAAGCAAATCTCATCTCTCCAAGGCGCCATTTTCTGCTTAGTAGTATTCCTTTTCTCTGTATCATTTGAAGGTTCTTACAACCCTCCTACCTCCAGGCAGCCTTTCTGGATTAAATCCTGGCTGACCACGAGTTTCTTAAGACTTTCCCCAACCCTTCTGACCCCAAAATGTGGATATGCTTTCCATTTATGTATTAATTTGGTATTTCCATTCTGTTGACTTGCTATCTGAGTCTCAGGCCGGTGCTCCATAGAGAGCTTCTGGACTAGGTCTGCCCTAACTGCCTCATTATTATTTGATGACAATGATAGTGAGTGTAGCAGGGATGGAATTCTGGAGACCCAGGTTCAAGTCTCTGTTCTTCTAGAGTATAAACTTGGATGAATTGTGTTCCCTCTCTGAACCTCAGTTTCCTCATCTGTGAAGTGAGGGGTCTCCTATATATATGTCTCCTATGTATACAGTCTCTGCAATCCTCCTCTAAAGCCTCTGACTTTCTCTTTCGTCCTCTTGTTCACTGGTATAGCTGAGAAAGTGGAATTCCAGAGACACTCCTGAAATTGTCCTAAGTTAAAGGAGCCAGTGTGCTAGCTCCCTCTCTGCCATCGCCTCTGAGAGCACCCATGGCCCTGAGTGATGTCGATGTGAAAAAGCAGATTAAGCACATGATGGCTTTCATTGAGCAGGAAGCCAATGAGAAAGCAGAGGAAATCGATGCCAAGGCTGAGGAAGAGTTTAACATTGAGAAAGGACGCCTTGTGCAAACCCAACGACTGAAGATTATGGAGTATTACGAGAAAAAGGAGAAGCAGATAGAGCAGCAGAAGAAAATCCAGATGTCCACCATGAGGAATCAGGCAAGGCTGAAAGTCCTGAGAGCCCGAGATGACCTCATCTCGGATTTGCTCAGTGAGGCGAAGCTGAGACTCAGCCGGATTGTGGAGAACCCAGAGGTCTACCAGGGGCTTCTGGATAAACTGGTGCTCCAGGGTCTGCTCCGACTGCTGGAACCTGTGATGATTGTGCGCTGCCGGCCACAGGACCTCCTCCTGGTGGAGGCTGCTGTGCAAAAAGCCATCCCTGAATACATGACAATTTCCCAAAAACATGTGGAGGTCCAGATTGATCAAGAGGCATACCTGGCTGTGAATGCAGCTGGAGGTGTGGAGGTCTACAGTGGCAATCAGAGAATAAAGGTTTCAAATACCTTGGAAAGCCGACTGGATCTCTCAGCGAAGGAAAAGATGCCAGAAATACGAATGGCCTTGTTTGGTGCTAACGCCAACAGAAAGTTCTTTATATAAGCCTCTGGGAAGTGAAGCTAGTGTTGAACCACTAAACCACGAAAGTTTAAGTTTTGGGGGGAAAAGAAACTAGTAGTGTTTCCTCCTCTTTGATGCTCTGATATTGTTCTGTTTTTCTTCATGAAATACCCCTTGGATGGCTAAAGTGTTAACTTTGAAATAAAGCCCAAATTAATGCTCAGAATTCAAATTCCAATTCATCCATCCATGCCACAGCTTCTGGTCCATTCTGCAGTCTGGGATGAAGGGAGTGATGACATCTGCTCTTCAGCTTGGCCTCAGGTGGTGAATGTGTGAGATGTGAATAGTGTTCTTGGCCTGTGGATCTGGGTGCTCTAGTTTAATATGCATATGAAGTGTGTTTTTCTTCCTTTGTTTCAGCCTCAGTACCCAAACTGATGTTATTTAATGAGGTCTAGAGGTTTTCCTCACATGTCCAGAATCAACTTAATGGGCATCCAACCAGCACAGTCACACAGGGACCCATGCTCCGAAGGGCCCAGCATCTGGGGTTTAGTGATCTGTATTTGCTGCCCTGAAATTCCGAATTTCATCTTTGAATGTGTGTTTTGTAAGTGACATTGATGGAACATTGGGGCATGTGCCAGGGGTTTGGAGCCTTGGCTCACGCATGGTACTGACTCCCAAAGTCTACCTACCTTCTTTGGATGGGTTGTTGGCTAACCATTTCCCAGTCCTCTGGTGCCCTGAAGCCCAGCCTTCCTCCACCTCACCCAGTGAGCATTGCTTCCCTCTGCCCCTGGCGGGGGCCTGGTGTACATGCAGGGAGGGTCAGAATGGGGTTTCATGCTCTGTGGAGTTTCAGGGCCAGAAATCCTTGCCCAAGGCTGGCAGCTCCGTGGCATATTCAGTAGACAACTTGGGGGAAGGGGTGAGTCTCTTACCCACCAGATACTGAGCCCGTCCTGGTGTAGAGGTTTAAAGACCCTAGGAGTTACTGTCCGCTATAGGGCAGCCTGCCCACTGGAAGGAGAGATGCCAGCTCAGCTTCCCTGATCCTGGCCCAGGCCTGCACTTGTGGCTAGTGGGAAGGGGGACCCAACCACTGCCAAACTTGCCGCACCAGAGTCTTAGGGCAGGACCCTCAGGAGCTTGTAAATATCTGCACTTGGCCTGTAAAGTATCCCTGTGCCTGGCAGCGTCCTCCCTTGGACAGTTCAGTGCCTAGGGGAACTTGGATGCATCTTTTCTGGCCAGTGTGAGGCACTTTCTGGGAGGAGCCAAGAAATACAGATTATATAATTTTTGTGACTTGGCATGTAGGCATTGCACAATAGAAAAGTAAATGGTAGAATTCATGCTAATAATTTAAACTTTAAATGGTAGAATTCATGCTAATAATTTAAATTTTCTTCACTTAAAAAGACATTAAATAGCAAATAAACACTATGAAAAGTCAAGAAGAGACTACAGAAGAAAGAAAAAAGCTTTATACTTTAGTGCCGTTCATGGCACTTCTTTCCTGCTTTTTGAACAAAGAATCTTACCTTTTCTTTCTTTTTCTTCTTTCTTCGTCCTTCTTCCTTTTTCCTTCTTCCTTCTTTCTTCTTCTTCTTCTTTCTTCCTTTCTTCTTCTTCTGTCTTCTTCTCCTTCTCCTTCTCTTTCTCCTTCTTCTTCTTTTTTGAGATGGAGTTTCTCTCCTGTTGCCCAGGCTAGAGTGCAATGGCACAATAGTGGCTCACTGCAAACTCCGCCTCTTGGGTTCAAGTGATTCTCCTGCCTCAGCCTTACAGGCTCATGCCACTATACCTGGCTAATTTTGTATTTTCAATAGACACGGGGTTTCACTATATTGGCCAGGCTGGTCTCGAACTCCTGACCTCAGGTGATCCACCCGCCTCGCCTCCCAAAGTGTGGAATTACAGGCGTAAGCCACCGTGCCTAGCCAGATCTCACATTTTCATTTTGCACTGGGCTCTGCAGATTACATAGCGGGTTCTGCATACGTAGGTGTGATTTAAGGTCTAGTCCATACCTGATGTTGCTTTATTTATTAAAATAGAATTTTTTTGAAGAAAAAAAATCCCAAGATGCTCTGCTGAGGGCAAAGGTTGGCCTGTGTGGTTAGGACTCTGCAAGGAACAGAAACTTCATGAAACTCAAACACAAAGTAAGGGACAGGCTACGAGTACGTGGGGGTGTCTCACAGAACCCAGAACGGGAATCCTTTGTGATCTCAGGAGAGGGCTGGAACTGGGACTCAGAAAGCCATCTGAAATCCTTTATGTGGCCATTTTTCTTTCTTTAAGGAGTGACTTTCTCTGTTGCCCAGTTTAAATGGTAGAGTATGCATGCCCCACCATTCCAAAGTTGACATGTTATAGTTCCAGAAACAAACTTGCTTCTCTTGAAGTCCATTCCACTTTCCCAGAGGGAATCTATTTGGCCAAACTGGGGTCAGGTGTCTATCTATGGTCCAGTTGGTGTCTGGGGCAGTTCCCAGAGAAAGAAGGGTCTTTGTCAGCTGGACAGACTCCCCACAGGGTGTCTTCTCTGTGGGCCCTTTTGAGTTTCAAATTTAGTCATTCAATGAGAATTTTTTTTTTTTTTTTTTAGATGGAGTCTAGCTCTGTCGCCCAGGCTGTAGTGTAATGCCGCAATCTTGGCTCACTGCAACCTCCGCCTTCTGGGTTCAAGCGATTCTTCTGCTTCAGCCTCCCAAGTAGCTGGGACTGCAGGCGTGTGCCACCACACCTGGCTAATTTTTATATTTTTAGTAGAGACGGGGTTTTACCATATTGGTCAGGCTGGTCTCGAACTCGTGACCTCATGATCTGTCCGCCTCGGCCTCCCAAAGTGCTGGGATTACAGATGCGAGCCACTGCACCCGGCCTCAGTGAACATTTTCTAAATGCCAGTGATGAGCCAGGCACTGTGCTGGGTGCTGGGCTGCAAAGAAGAATATGATCTGGTTCTGTTCTTTAAGGAGTCATAGACACATAAACAGATGATGATCATGATAATGATACAATGTGGCAAGTGCCAGACTAGTGGTGATGTGAAACCCTGTGGGAAGACGGTGGCAGGAAGGGAGGGTAACAGAAGGGTTCCTGGGTGCTGGCAGTTGAGCTGGGGAAAGCCCTCCAGGCAAAGGAAGGAAAGCATGTGCCAAGGCCCTGAGGTGTGAAAATGCAGGGCACATTAGAGGAGCTTTGTGTAGTTTGGGGTGATGGAATGTGAGGGGTGAGGAGGAAGAGACCATGGATGAAGGTGGAAAGATGGGCCTTATTACAGGGTGTTGCTCTGGAGGTTGGGGGGGGGGGTTGTTTGTTTGTTTTTGTTTCTGTGTGTGTGTGTGTGTGTGTTTGTTTTGTTTTGTTTGTTTTTGAGACAAGGTCTTGCTCTGTTGCCCAGACTGAAGGGCAGTTGTGTGATCTTGGCTCACTGCAACCTCAAGCTCCTAGGCTCAAGCGCTCCTCCCACCTCAGCAGGTTACAGCAGGAAGTGGGAGCCAAATTTCCAGAAGGGGATAGACTGGGGGCTTGGTCCCCAGCCCTGAGTAGCTGGGACTACAGGCATGCACCACCACACCTGGCCAATTTTTTTATTCTTTGTAGAGACGGGTCTCACTCTGTTGGCCAGGCTGGTCTTGACCTCCTGGGCTCAGGCAATCCTCCTGCCTCGGCCTCCCAAAGTGTTAGAATTATAGGCGTGAGCCACCACACCTGGCCTGCTCAGGCGTTTTGACTTAATTCTGGTGGGTGAGTGATAAGGAGGTCATTGAGGGACTTTAAGAGTGAATGAAACAATGACAGCTGGACTTTCAGAAAGATTATTCCAGTGTCGCTGTGGGTGGAGGACACATTAATGCGGGGGAGAGACTGGAGGCAGGGGGCTCCCCGTGAGAGCACGGGGGCTATTTATCAGCCTGAGTGAGAGGTGATAAATAACCTTACCCGCTCTTTCGTGAGGCAGGTGAACTTCATGGTACAAAAGTGGAAGAGATTAGAATTAGTGACTTCTGTCCTATGCCTCCTCCCTTCCCCCACCCCAATATATTTTTTTTCACTTGTCCAGGCTTGAGGCTTTATTACAGTTTCATATCATCTTACAGTTTTTTCTTATGAGAGTCTCCCTACCCTCTGAGCTTTCCCCCCTCTCTCCTCACCATCATTCCAGGCCCAGCAAAGCACCCACTTCCCAGCTCATCAAGCCCCCAGCCCCTCCCCTTCCGGGAAGTCAGCCCCCACTTCCTGCTGTAACCCTGGAGTGTCTGAACCCCTCGGCCTACCCTAGCTCTGGCCCCCTGAGCCACCCTCAATCTGTTAGCTGCCCCCAACATCAATTCACCTCCCCCAAAAATGGGCAGTCGTAGGTTTTATGAAAGGTTTTGTGGGAAGTTGAGGAGAGCATTGCATCATACCTGTGGGACAAACTTTCCCCTAAGTCGCATTTAAGCATCTCTATGTTTTCCAACTTTTCTCTCTGCTGGAGCTGCCACACATTAGCTCTTTCTCCCTCAGCATTCTCCCTCAACCCCGTGGGTTCCAGCCTTTTCCTCACCATGTCCCCTCAGCAACACAAAAACCTTGGCCTCCCGCAGTCTCTGGATGTAGGGACTGTGTCTCTCATTGAGGACTTTTCACGCACTGCTTTTCTTTACTGTCAGCAACTTTATCTACTGTTTCTCATCTTTTTAGACACAGCTCCTTATGGACAGAGACTGTATCTTTTCTCTTTTTTGCATCCCCTGCTGCTGTGTTACTTTAGTGCCTAACACAGTAGGTTCTGAACAAGTGTTGATCATTGTTACATTCTTCTCTCCAGGCCTAGCTCTGGGTTATGGATGGAGGACTCCAGAGCCTCTCTCCTCTCCTAGTCCATAGATTTGGCCAAAAAAAAGGGCAAGGATGTGAGATGGTGGTCAGGGGAAAGGTGGTGCATTGTATTCCAAGGATCTTTCTGGACAAGAAAATCCCCTATTGCTCTCAGGAAAAGACTGTGGATGGGAACAGCCTGAAACTCAGGCAGGATGTGCCCCCTGCCTCACTTCAGTCCAGTGATTGGTTACTCCTGGGCTTGCCTGAGGGTTTATTGAGTCCCATCCCTCCATGGGAAACAGATGGAAGGGGCTTTGCTTTGGACCCGGGTGCAGAGGCAGGAGGCTCTGGAGGGACTGGGCCTGGTCTGTGTCCTCCATGGGGGCCTCAGCCGTGGGAGAG